TGATGCGTTTGTCTGTCCCTCTCCCTCCCTCCTCTGTCCCTCCCTTCCTTCCTGTGAGCAGCCATTAAAGGGAAGGACACCACCCCACACATCTAGGCCCGGTCCGACCCCTGTAATGGTACATTCCTGTAAAGGAAGAGCGAGACTCGTACTTTTCTTCGTTTCCGGGCTAGCGACAGCTCCTCTTCCGTTGTAGCAGCTGAAGGCGCTCAACGCCTTCTGCGTCCTGCCGCCCTCCTCGGCCACGACAGCGGCGCAGGATGCAATTCTAGAGGAAAGTCTTGCTGGGAACGCTACGATGCACAGAGGCAGTGAGCCATGCTTGTGCAGGGAAGCTTCCAACACCAACGTAATGGAACACAAAACACAGCAATATTCGGGCAGAATGTTTGGTGTATTTGTTCAGTTTCTTGGTCGAATATATGTTTTCGTCCTGTTTATTTGTTTCTATTTCTCTCTAGGTCACCAGTCTAGTCATAAGGCTGTTAAACACTGTCTATGACAACAAGGTGAGGTTATAGGCTAGTCTTAGTCTACGCATGACAACGTGACATGATACATACATGACTACATGTAATGTGTCATGCATGACAGCGTGTCATGACACATACATTCCTACATGTAATGTGTCACGCATGATAGCGTGTCATGTTCCTTGTTCCCGGTTGAACACATGAACAGAAGATTCGCACGAAGGAGCGATGAATGCATCTTGGTATTCAACTAACTGTGCTCACCTTTTGTGTTTGTGAGGGGTGAGCTATGGCTCTTGGGTCCAGCCTCGCAATCTTTGAATAACTGGCGATTAGGTTCTAGAATCTCTTGGTCTTTACAATATTTACATGTAAAGCTGTGTGTGGTGCAGTCTACCTTCTCGCCGGATTCCATTTGATGACAATACTGACACTGAAAACTTTATATCTAATGTGTCTGTGGTATATTTGGATATTTAATTTTCATTTGTTTGCTCCTTATACTGTTCATGGTATATTCATTGGGCTTTTCTGGCTTGTATATTCCCTTGGGTATTTTTTGTGGTTATTATATCTCTCCTATTTTTTCCTCTTTTCCAGTGGCGTGAGGCTTAATTAGTCTCTCGTTACTGATATCTCTCAGGTCTAAGACATGCTTCTCAACTTTTTTCCATTTTCCTATTGTGTTTAACGAGATGATGACTCATATTCCGGAGTTGGTCTGACATAATGGGTATGCGAAATTCTAAACGTCTCGTTGTTCAGATTAGTAAAACAGTGTTGACCAGACCACACACTAGAAGGTGAAGGGACGACGACGTTTCGGTCCGTCCTGGACCTTTCTCACAATCGACTTGAGAATGGTCCAGGACGGACCGAAACATCGTCATATCTTCACCTTCTAGGGTTTGGTCTGGTCAACATACTTCAACCTCGTTATTGTGACTCCTCGCCTGCATAGTAAAACAGTGGTTACATCAGCTAAGCTTCCGTATGCTGCTGAAGACACTGATGTGGGCGTCTGGCGACAGACTGCAGTCATTATCCCGCCAAGTAATTATCAAAAGAAGGCAAGAACGCGTCAAGTCTGAAAAACTCCGTTGAACAGATTGAAGTTGACAATCTATCCTCCACAATGTAATAAAGTATTTAGCATATGTAATGTGGCATTGATATTGAATTTTAAAGTGATTATGTGAAATACGCATTTGCCTTGGTTGAACTCCAGCAGCTACCACTCTGATCAACGCTGCGGTGCGCACTAGTCTCCCTCTGAGCTCTCGCAGTATTCTCCTCTTCTGACTCTCCTAATCACCTTTTTGTCGTTGGTAAACTCTGAGCTCTCGCAGTATTCTCCTCTTCTGACTCTCCTAATCACCTTTTTGTCGTTGGTAAACAGGTAATGTTTACGTTTAGAGACAAGACACATTTTCCTAAATGCTGTAAGAGTAGTCTGTTTGTGCGTTTCTTCAGACCGACTGTCGCGGGTGACAATGAAACTGGTTTGTAATACAGAGCTTGGATGATGATCCCCCGTAATCACCTAGTTGTGATTGCGGGGGATGAGCTCTGCCCGCCTCTCAACTGTCAATCTTATTTTTTTTTCACATACACACCCACACCGGGTAAAAGTGCTGCCAGTTTTTTGAAGGAGCTGAGGGTCCAAGCTAATTGAAACAACTAGGGACCCTAGAGCCGCCAGTTTTCTCTTTCAGCGCCTTAGTGTGGCGATCCCCTATCCCTAGAACTACGAATCCCGATCGCTGACCACTCAGCCACAGGCCCTCTATGTGTGTGTGTGTGTGTGTGTGTGTGTGTGTGTGTGTGTGTGTGTGTGTGTGTGTGTGTGTGTGTGTGTGTGTGTACTCACCTATTTGTGCTTGAGGGGATTGAGCTCTGGCTCTTTGGTCTCGCCTCTCAACTGTCAATCATCAGGTGTACAGGTTCTTGAGCCTATTGGGCTCTATAATATATACACATGAAACTGTGTATGGAGTCAGCCTCCACCACATCACTCCCTAATGCATTCCATTTGTTAACCACTCTGACACTAAAAAAGTTCTTTCTAATATCTCTGTGGCTCATTTTGGCACTCAGTTTCCACCTGTGTCCCCTAGTGCGTGTGCCCCTTGTGTTAAATAGCATGTCCTTATCTACCCTATCAATTCCTTTGAGAATCCTGTATGTGGTGATCATGTCCTCCCTAACTCTTCTGTCTTCCAGCGATGTGAGGTTCAACTCCCGTAGTCTCTCCTCGTAGCTCATACCTCTCAGCTCGGGTACTAGTCTGGTGGCAAACCTTTGAACCTTCTCCAGTTTAGTCTTATGCTTGACTAGATATGTACTCCATGCTGGAGCTGCATACTCCAGGATTGGTCTAATATATGTGGTATACAAAGTTCTGAATGATTCCTTACACAAGTTTCTAAATGCTGTTCGTATGTTGGCCAACCTGGCATATGCCGCTAATGTTATCCTCTTGATATGGGCTTCAGGGGACAGGTCTGGCGTGATATTAACCCCAAGTCTTTCTCTCTCTCTCTCTGACTCTTGGAGAATTTAATCTCCCAAATGATACCTTGTATCTGGTCTCCTGCTTCCTACACCTATCTTCATTACATTACATTTGCTTGAATTAAACTTCAACAACCATTTGTTCGACCATTCCTTCAGTTTGTCTAGGTCTTCTTGAAACCTTAAGCAATCCTCCTCTGTCTTAATCCTTCTCATAATTTTGGCGTCGTCAGCAAACATTGAGAGGAATGAGTCTATATCCTCCGGGAGATCGTTTACGTATATCAGAAACAGGATAGGTCCGAGTACAGAGCCCTGTTGGACTCCACTGGTGACTTCCCGCCATTCTGAGGTCTCACCCCTCACTGTAACTCTCTGCTTCCTATTGCTTAGGTACTCCCTTATCCACTGGAGCGCCCTACCAGTTACTCCTGCCTGTCTCTCTAGCTTACGTACCAGCCTTTTATGGGGTACTGTGTCAAAGGCTTTCCGACAGTCCAAGAAAATGCAGTCCGCCCAGCCCTCTCTTTCTTGCTTAATCTGTGTCACCTGATCGTAGAATTCTATTAAGCCAGTAAGGCAAGAATTTACCCTCCCTGAACCCATGTTGGCGATTTGTCACGAAGTCTCTTCTCTCCAGATGTGTTACCAGGATTTTTTCTCACAATCTTCTTCATCACCTTGCATGGTATTCAAGTCAAGGACACTGGCCTGTAGTTCAGTGCCTCTTGTCTGTTACCCTTTTTGTATAATGGGACCATATTAGCCATCTTCCATACCGTCTTCCATATGTGTGTGTGTGTGTATGTGTTGGTGTGAGATAAGAGAGAGAAAGAGAGAGAAAGAGAGAGAGAGAGAGAGAGAGAGAGAGAGAGAGAGAGAGAGAGAGAGAGAGAGAGAGAGAGAGAGAGAGAGAGAGAGAGAGAGAGAGAGAACAAGGGCACCATAACTACGCTAGTAGTGACTGACCCATGATCCTGCAGAAGCAGTGGAGAGACGCTCCAGGTAGCGGGCAACCTCGCCGAGTGCCCTGATGGGACGCCCGCACCTCACCAGCGCCAGCAAGCGAAGTAATGAAAATACTCTACGGGGTGAGAACTGCCTTAAGATACCGTGAGGGAAGAGGAAAGAACAGGAGATAGAGAAGAGAGAGAGAGAGAAGAGAGAGAGAGGGAAGGAACAGGACAGAAGGGCAGGTGGAAAGCAAATGGGAGAAAGGGACTTTCGAAAATTTAATAGGAAGGGACCGGCCGTGGAGGAGAATACCCATCCCATAACCGCGGGTACCATGCAGGTAGATGAGGACAAGACTTGTGAGGGACCAGGCAGGGAGAGATAGTACCAGGCAATTCAATTACTTTCTTTATTATGCACCCCATACCCATCCCGTGGGCGGTGGTGTAAAGGGTTACAGAGACACATAATCGGTTCAGGAACTGAACCCTCTAGTTCGTTTAGCTAAGCAAATAACAATCTTTTGACGCTAGTCACACAATTACTAATGTTATATATACATGTACACATACTCATACATACATGTACACATATATACATATACATATATACATACACATACATATACATATATACATACATATACATATATACCAGGCAGAGAAAGATAGTGCCAGGCAGAAACAGTGAGAGAGGCCAACAAGGAGAGACAAGGTCACACAAAAAAGAGGACAGAAAATGAAACATATCTACAGGCAACGAAAGGACAGTGAGAAAAGAGGAGAGGAGAGGAGAGGAGAGGAGAGGAGAGGAGAGGAGAGGAGAGGAGAGGAGAGGAGAGGAGACCATTTGGATATCGAAGGCTAGGCAGAGAAAGAGAGAGAGCTAGGATGACAAAGAGCCAGGCAGAGAAACGGATAAACAAAGGACCGGAAAAAAATAGAGTGCCAATTAGAAAGAAAGTGGATAGGTTGACCTTGAGAAGACTCGTGTTTACATGTCCAACATGGGACTGAATAATGAGATTGGAAGACCTCAAGGGAGAACTAAGCAGGGCGTCTAAGCAAGTAAACAAACACGAACAAGGAGATCGTCAAAGTAGAGGTGCGTAGGGTGTTCCTGCTGTGCAGAGATGTGCTGCCAGTCAGTAGGGTGTTCCTGCTGTGCAGAGATGTGCTGCCAGTCAGTAGGGTGTTCCTGCTGTGCAGAGATGTGCTGCCAGTCAGTAGGGTGTTCCTGTTGTGCAGAGATGTGCTGCCAGTCAGTAGGGTGTTCCTGCTGTGCAGAGATGTGCTGCCAGTCAGTAGGGTGTTCCTGCTGTGCAGAGATGTGCTGCCAGTCAGTAGGGTGTTCCTGCTGTGCAGAGATGTGCTGCCAGTCAGTAGGGTGTTCCTGCTGTGCAGATATGTGCTGCCAGTCAGTAGGGTGTTCCTGTTGTGCAGAGATGTGCTGCCAGTCAGTAGGGTGTTCCTGCTGTGCAGAGATGTGCTGCCAGTCAGTAGGGTGTTCCTGCTGTGCAGAGATGTGCTGCCAGTCAGTAGGGTGTTCCTGCTGTGCAGAGATGTGCTGCCAGTCAGTAGGGTGTTCCTGCTGTGCAGAGATGTGCTGGCAGTCAATAAGGTCTTCCTGTTGAACAGAGATGTGTTATTGGCAGTCCAGCCAATACCAGTAAAGAGCCGTGTTGGGGCATCATGCAGGAAGGAACTGTGGGACTGGAGCCCGTGCTCAAGGCGTCTTGCAGGAAGGGTCCGCGTCTGAGCCAAGCAACAGCAGCAGACGGAGGCGGCCAACTTGCCAATTTCCCCCGTGGTACTTGGAGTCGTTGAGGGGATGACGTGCAATCCCGGTTTCCATGTCCGGGGACTCGCCCTTCCTCTCGGGGAGCTGCAGCCCGCCTCCTGCCTGACGCATCACTCACCTCTCCTGTCACACCCGCTACTCTCAATCACCACCACCACCACCACTACCACCACCACACACCACAACTATAACACACCACCACACACCACAACTATAACACACCACCACAACCACACACACCACCACACCCACCACCACCCCACACACAACACCCACCACCACCGCCACACCCCACACACAACACCCACCACCACACACCACACCCACCACCACCACACACCCCACACACAACACCCACCACCACACCCACCACCACCACACACAACACCCACCACCACACACCACACCCACCACCACCACACACCCCACACACAACACCCACCACCACACCCACCACCACCACACACAACACCCACCACCACACACCACACCCACCACCACCACACACATCACCACACACACCACACACACCACCACCACACACACCACCACCCCACACACCACACCCTCCACCACCACCACCTCACACACCGCACCCACTATCTACACCACCACCACCACCATCACACACACCAAATCCACCACCACCACCACCATCACACACACCAAATCCACCACCACACACACACCACACCACATCACCATACCACAATCATCACAACTATCACCACACTATTCTTTCAAGACAATCTATACAGCCTATGTTACACCAATACCAGAATACACAGCACCTTTCTGGAATCTGCATCTTGCAAAACACAAAAAACGCGGAAAGTGCAGAGGTTTGCAACAAGATTAGTGCGAGAACTAAGAGGGTTTAGCTACGAGGATAGGTTAAGCGAACAAAATCCCACTATTCTAGATTCGAGACAAAAATAGGGAATATGATCACAACATAAAAGATACTGAGGAGGCAATCGACAAAGTAGGAGAAGATGACCATGCACTGGGGGTTAATTAGTAGAATGGACTGAAAGAAGAAATTGAAAGCCGCCATCATCCACAACTTTAAGGCCAGATTCGACAAGGAATTCGAAGGTCAGAATAATTCAAACTAGATTTCAGTCAAACGTAGTTACTGATAAGTAAGTACAACATCCACTACCTCCTCCGCGATACCCACCACCACAACCATCACCACCACATCCACCACCATCACCAGAACCATCACCACCATCACCACACTCACCACACCACCCCCCGCTATTTTTCTAGACAATATGAACCAGAACAAGATAAGCTGTATACAATACTTCTGCCACACACATATAATACAACACCTTCAGTATATATAAATATATATATATATATATATACAGCCTCGCGCCACACTACCCAGACACGCAGCATAAAATAGTTCGGTAAAGACCCACCGTCACATCAACGTTCCTTCCCAGATGGCAGCCAGGGGCCGCGAAACACCCGGAAGGCAGCCGGCTTGGGTGACAGACGGTTATACTGTCCTCGCCGACGGGGGGTATGACGGGAGGACAGAGAGTCTCGGCCCTAAGCTGTAGCGACTTGACCGACATAATATCCCCCCCAGAGCACTTTGTCCCTCGGTATGTCATGGTGGAGGGAGGTCTCTTGTTGAGCTCTCGGAGCCGTCGGTGGTGGTTGGTCATCTGTGGTGCGGCGGGATGCAGGTGGTGCCCCTTGCTCTGTACCTGGTCTGTGGTGGTGGTGAGTATGGTAGTTGTTGTGATGATTATGGTAGTTGTGGTGGTCATGGTGATGCTGGTGGTGAGTATGATAGTTGTGGTGATTATGGTAGTTAACATATTAGATGGTGGTGGTGATGATTAGTGGCTATCATGGTAGGAGTGGTGGTGGTGGTGGTGATGACGGTTATCATGGTGATGGTATTTCTGATAATGGTGGTGATGGAACTCATGCTTGTGTTACTGAATATAATTTCTTAGATAATGCCTTTTTTTTACACTTTGTCAGCTATCAGCTTTCTCTCTTGCTCTCTGAAGGTCCAAACCAGCATGTGAGCAGCGTGAGAGAGAACTAGTTTTGAGTGCAAATATCTCACAGCAGCTGTGAGAAGGTTCTGTGAGAGAGAGAAGAGGGTGGTGTGGTGGTATCATATACCCGAGTTATGGGTATGGTGACTTACGGGCTACTCATGCCCGTGCCACCTCCTGGTTGGCTTAATCTTAATCAATCAATCAGTATGGTGGCAGCTGGTGTCTTGGGTGTCACGCCAGGCTCGGAGAACACAACTAAGGTGCTCTTTAGTGCCGAGGTCTGACGCCAAGACAGTGATTCAGTATTAAAATCAGTTGTACAGAATTTGAAGAGTTGGTGTGGCCTCACTGTTGGTAAAATTATGCAAACAAATGAACAAATCCACAAGGGCCATGATGAGGGTTCGAACCTACGTCCGAGAGGATCCCAGACGCGCCTTAATCGACTGAGCTACGACATGGTAAAAGAATTGCAACCGGGAGTTCAACTTGACCTACCACGGATCCTGCAGGTTGTCACAGGTTGTAGAGCTCCTCCAGCTCCTCAGATGGCGGGCAGGAACCATAGATGCAGTGACCATTTCCTCTCTGGATCACCACACTAAGGCGCTGAAAGAGAAAACTGGCGGGTCTAGGGTCCCTAGGTGTTTCAATTAGCTTGGACCCCAGCTCCTTAAAAAAAACTGGCAGCACTTTTACCCCAGGCACCAAGTGTCTCTGAGGCAATGGGGACAAAATTGTAGTGGTGATCAAGGTCTCTGTATTTACGTGACTTGGCTGCTTCCTAGTGATTGGCAGCACCTCCTGCCTGTGCAGCACTGAAGTCAACATAGGTATTGGCTAAAGTTGAAACGCAAGTGGAGTCCCACACCAACTGTCTACCATTCTTCCAGGGGTTCACCGTGATCCCGTCTGTGCGACCGACAGGCTCTTCGGAGTTGTATTCGGTGTGGATTGGGGCAGCGAGGCGGAGAGCCACAGCAATTCGTCTCACAGCCTGCGGTGTGAGACGGGTGCCGGTTGCTGACATTGGGGTTACTAATAGGAAGTTACCTGCATGGGGAGCTGCTACAGCTCTAAGTCGGGCAGTGTCATGTGCTGTCGCAGCTTCTTGGTCAGCAATGGGGCGATCCTATTGCTTATGGGCTTCAGAAAGCGGTGGTTGGAATCCTGGCCGGGTCATTTAGAGTTCTTAGTTATCTATGGCTTGCGTGTTCCTGCAGCTTTCACGCACGCACACACACACACACACACACACACACACACACACACACACACACACACACACACACACACACACACACATACACACACACACACACACACACACACACACACACACACACACACACACACACACACACACACACACACACACACACACACACACACATACACACACACATACACACACACACTCACACACACACACACACACACACACATGGTCAAGTGGATTACACATACCATAGTCACTTCTGGGGTCTGATATATATATATATATATATATATATATATATATATATATATCACTTGCCGATCAATCCTTCCCGCTCATCCATCCCCCACCCTATCAGTAAATCAATCCCACCCTCCCATTCATGTTGGTGATTATGATGATAGCGGAGGTGAGATGAATGGTTGCTATCGTTGTGCCACGAGATAACGCAACATTTTTGTTGTTCCACAGAAATGATAAGCCAGTGCTTTAATCCAGGTAGAGACCTTCAGTAATTAATATATAAGAAATGTTGAATCATTTACACCTAAGAAGGAGGAGGAGGCGTTGAATCGTTAATACTTCACTGAGGAGCTTATGTATCCCTCTAATGTATCCCTCTTACGTCTTCCTCTTTTGTATTCCTCTACAGACGACCACCTCTCAGTAGACGACTCAAACAGATAAGGGACGGTGTTCGCCCTTTACTTCTCCAACGCTAGAGGTCTTGTCTTTGTCAATTAATACCAGAGGAACGCTCTCTCTCTCTCTCTCTCTCTCTCTCTCTCTCTCTCTCTCTCTCTCTCTCTCTCTCTCTCTCTCTCTCTCTCTCTCTCTCTCTCTCTCTCTCTCTCTCTCTCAGGCAAACACACAAAGCACAGAGATGTGGGGTAGAAGTCATTCTAAACACAGTTGTCACAACATTGCTGTACGAAACGTAGTCGTTTTTATTTTTAGCCAAACACAGAGGGCCTCACGCTCAGTGTGTGCCTGTGTTTGTGAGAGCGTTTAAAGAACATTGTATTCCCCCGTATACAGGTAGAGAGGCACGTATACAGACGCACTCAGGCAGGTATAAGTCTGTAACTCGGCCACGGAGTAACGCACGGAAACACAGACAGACAAAAAGGAAGGCTGAAAAAAATTCTCGTAGGGGAGAATGAAAGAAAGCCATGGGGGGGAGAGGGACAGGGGAGGAGAGCCCTGTGAACACTCACACCGGGACTCGTGGAGGTAAAGTGACCGGGCCGACGAGACGAGTGGGTGGTGAGAGGGAGGGTGGGAGTAGGTAAGTGAGAGGTGAGAGAAAATCTACAAAATCATTGTAAATTTTTGTCAATATTTGGAGGTATTGACAAAAATTTGTCAATACCTCCAAATATTGACAAAATTTTGTCAATATTTGGGGGTATAATATTGACAAAATTTGGAGGAAGTCACTCTTGGCAAGACCTGACCACAGTTGGAGGCAGAGCTGGCGACAGCTTGAGGCTGTTGCTTTTCGAAACAGTTTTGACTGAATCGAGTTTCACTTCACTTTTGTACACAGCATTTACTCAGCCCATCCTCATAAACAAAGGCCATAGTCCATTTCAGAGACCCGCCAAACCCCCTGTTTATGAATGCAAAACGGTTTACACACGACTCACAACTGATGACGTCTGAACACTTCCGGAACAATTGCTTCACTGACGACATTTGTTCGAACCACAACGCTATAAATGCTTCACCCACGTACTACAAATACAAATAATCGCCATCAGAACCCAAACCCCTAACCTAACCAATGCCTAAATATACACATTATGCTAATATATATATAACACATAATAATTTATATTTGAGAAAATTCCTATTTT